AGGCTGGCCTCAAACTCACAGCAATCCTCCTGCCTCAGCCTCTCAAGTGCTGGGGGTGCATCATGTCCAGCGCATGCTATAGTTTTCAGTATGTTGTCCTTTCATTCCCACTCAGTTCAAAATGTGGGTTTTTTTTTGCAGTGCTAAGGATTAAACCCAGAGCCTCATTCAGACGAGGCAAGTGCTCTGCCACTAGGCTACAACTCCAGCCCTTTGTTTTCAGTTTTTATTTGAAGGCAGGCCCCAGCTATGTTGCCCAAGATGGCCTCAAACTTTTGACTCTTCCTGCTTTAGCCTCCCAAGTACGGTAACTGGGATTACAGGCATGTGCAACTACACTGCTGGTTGCTGTATTCCTGATACGATTCCACTGGGGTCAGAGAACATGTTTTGAATGATTTAACTCCTTTTAAATACACTGGGACTTTTGCCTAGGAAATGGTGAGTTGTCTTGAATATTAATTAAGCCAAGCGAGTTGACAGTGTTGTTCCAGCCCCATGTTTCAGGTGACCAACCACCTGCAGAGGCAGGGCTGCTGGGGTCTCCGAGTGTGACTGAGGCCTCGTCTTCTCTGCAGGCCTGTCAGTTTCAGTTTTAGGGGTCTTATCTGTTGTTTGGTGAATGTGCATTCAGTATTTCTATGTCCTTTTGACAACTGCACCAGTTTACCATTGCAAAATGATCCTGTGACCTCTGGTAATATTCTTTGCTCTGCTGTCTACTTCGGCTGGTCCAGGTTTCTTCCCATTAGGGTTGGCATGGTGATAGTCTCCCACCCTTTTGCTTTCAACGTATTTGTGTCTTGACATGTGAAGTGTTTTTCTAGGCAGAATAGAATTGGGCCTTTTTAACCAATCTGACATTTGCCTTTAGTCCAGGTATTTGCATATTTACATGTGACGTCTCTGGACATGGTTGGGTTGGAATCAGCCATCTTGCTCTCTGTGCTTTACTCGCCTCATTTGTTCTTCCCCCCTCTTTTTCTGCCTCCTTTTGGGTTAATTTTTAAAAATGTCCTTGATTCCTTCGTTGCTTCATTTGCTGAAGATCTTTTTGTTATTTTATCCCCCCCCCAATTTTTTGTTATTTCAATGGTTGCTTCAACTTTTTTAAAAGATGGAGTCTTGCTCTTGTCTAAGAAGGCCTTAAACTCTTTGGCTAAATTGATCCTCCCAAGTAGCTGGGACTCCAGGTGTGTACCCCAGCGTGGCCTCACATTAAACGTCACTAACTCGTCATGACTCGACTTCAGGGGGCATTCTGTCCTCTCAGGTATGGCGATTGCTCCCAACACTGCTCTCCCTCCCAGTCTGTGCATCACTACATATTTTATATTTCCACAGCATAAACTCCTCAATGTATTGTTGCTATTTTGGCTTATGTACTTGTTTTCTTAGGGAGATCTAAACAATAAGAGGGACACTGTTTCGGTGACTCATCCTGTCTCCGTTTCCAGGGCTCTTCAAGTCTGCGTGGATTCAGGTTCCTGTATGGTTGTGTGGTCACTGTCCATTTGCCTGAAGGATGTCAACATTTTTTTTTAGCACACACGGGTAATGAATTCTTCAGCTTTTTGAATGTGAAAAATTCCCTGCTTTGCCTTTGTTTTTAGAAGGCATTTTTACTGGTGCAGGACACCAGCTTAATGGGTTTCTCCTTGCGGTCTGGAGGCACTGCCACCTGTCTTCTTACTGTCCAGTCTCCAGCATGGAGTGTCCTCCTGTCTACCATGCTGCACAAAAGGTGGCCTTCTCTGAGCTGCTGTGAAGCCACTCTTCAGAGCTGGTCTTCTGAATGCTGACACTGAAGGTGCTCCTGTTGGTTTATTTCTTTTTTTGTCTTTTTGAGACAGGGTTTTGCTGTGCAGTTCAGGCTGGCCTTCAACTCACTCTGTAGGCCAGGCTGGCCTCAAATTTGCAGCGATCTCCTGCCTCAGCCTCCTGCATGCTGGGATTACAGGTGTGTGCCACCATGCCCAGTTTCTTGTGCTCAGATTTTGTTCAGCCTTTTGCAGCTGTGGGTTTGTTTTCATTATCTCTGGAGAAAGCTGGACTTTTTTTCTTAGAGTATTTTTTGTTCTCTGTCTCACTCTCCTCTCCTGTGGGGATTCCAATTTCCCTGGCATTTCATGGCCTGCCACCATGGCACAGCCTGTTTCTCTCTGCTTCATCTTGGACAGATCTGTCTCAGTCCAGACCAGCAATCCTTGCTTTTGCGGTTTTTCATTAATTCCCATCTGACTTCTCATCTCAGGCACTCAGTCTTCATCTCTAGAAGTAGGGCTGTGGCTTTAGATTTTCCTATGTCTCTGTGCAGCACCTGCATCTTGGACATGGGCACAGTGATGTTCAGTGCCTGTGATGTCCCCTCCTGCTAGCTCTGCATCTGCCCCCGCTGGATCGCTTTGGACTGACACCCCCCCCCCCAAGCATGCGTTGTAATTTTGTGCTATTTCTCACACCTGCTGTTTTGAATGGACCGGGAGTCTGTGCTGTTCTTCCTGTATTCCTGAAACACTCCCACTTGTGTCTGGGGTTTGTCTGAGTTACTTGCAGCCCTGTGACTCTTCCTTAGGAGAGACCAGAGCTGCCTGTTCTAGGGCGACTCCCCCACTGTGCACGCCTTGAATCTCGAGGCTCCCTGCTCCAACTATGAGCATGGCACCTGCCTGGTCCCAGGGATGGTCCTTTGAGGGTGCCTGTCTCCCACTTGGGTGTTTTCTTCTTGCTCTCGCCTGCTGTGTCCTCACTGAAGCCTTGGGGTGGCTCTCTGTCCCGCCTGGGGCTCCCTGCACCTGCATTCTGCCTGGCTCCCACACCTGGGTGGTAAGCAGGGCAGTCTCGGGGTCACCATCCTATGTACGGACATCTACGTTTTGAGTATTTGTCACGTCATTTTTGGTGGTTGTTTCAGAGTGTGAGTCGGGTCCCGGCCCCTCGCTTGGCTGCCCAGCTCTTTGGGATCTCTGCACCTGCAAGAGGCCACCTCCACCGGCTGCTGCTCAGCGCCCCCAGCGGCCTGGAGAGGAGGGAGGGGCAGGCGCTGAGCCAGGCCGGCGGCCCTGCCTGACGAAGGTCGCAGAAAGGGCGAGAGGTCCCTGGGGCTTACCTGCACGAGGGCGACCCGTGTCAGCCCTGTGGAGAGGCCACGGGGCGAATATAGGCCCAGCGCCGCCGCCCTGGGCTTCACCTTTAAAAGGGCAGGGCTCGCTCCTGCCGCTGAGGTCCTCGCTCAGGGCCGCTTCCGAGGGGCGGCGGGGCCGCGAGCGGGCCAGGGCGGCGGGCTGCACGCGGCTTCCGGCTTAGCAGCGCGGCGGGCCCGGGCAGGACGTGGCGGGGTGGGGCAGGGTCGGACAGCTCGGGGAGCCGCCGCCAGGGGGCAGCCGCGCACAGGGACGGGGGCGGGGAAAGGCCGGCAGGGTCCCGGGGTGCCCCCCGAGCTTGGGGTGGCGGCACCTGTCCTGGACCGCTCTTCACCCCGTGCCCACAGCGCTCTTGGACCTGCACACCTCGAGCCATTCTGGCGCGCACCTGCCTTGGAAACCGCGCACCTGCCCAGCGCATCACGCCTGGGTGGCGTCCGCTCCTTGAAGTTTGGGCCCCGTGTCGGTGACGCCGGGTGGCCGCGTCCCCAGGTGGCCCGGGCCCCGCTGTGCCGTGTCCTGAGCGGGCAGGTGGTCTCGCCGCCCGCGTCCTCGAGGCTGCCCGGAGGAGGGGCCGGCAGTTCCCGGCCCTGGTCACAGACTCGGCGGTCGCGGCGCAGCAGAGGGTGCTGCGGACCAGGGCGACGCGATCTTGGGGAGATACATAGCGGACCGGTGGGCGCAGGCTCGGTACTGCGAGCGGCCACGTCGGGGGTGCCACCTGCCCTTCAGGATCCCGAACTAGGGAGACGCCTGCCCGCCGCGCAGGTGGCGAAGGCAGCATCCTGTCTCATCGCGAGCCGTGTCCCTAGGTCGCCGCCACTCCCGGAGCCGCGGGAAGGCGCCAGGTGGGCTCAGGTCAGCGGGGAGCCGCTTTGGCAGGTCCCCAGCTGCTCAGGGCTCCTCGGGCGCCAGAGGGTGGCCTGGGCTGGGGACCGGGCAGCCACGGCAGTTCTGGGGGCCGGGCAGGGGTGAGGTGGGCGCCGCGACCCTGCAGGAACGGTCCAGGCCTGTGTGTCTGCGCAGGCGGGCGGGC